GCATTTTTTCTTAAGATGGTCGTCGGTCGTCTCCCTTTAATGACCTCGTTGAGGGTTTTTTTTTGGTTTGGTAGCAGAGAGAGTACCTCCTCCGCTAGTTGCTAATATTCGCGAGTGGGTGAGCGTGATTCTCCCCCATACGATGGGGATTCGCGAATGGGCACCTTTCCTTGAGAAGTTTGGGCGCAAGCCCCTTGTTGGTGAGTCGGCTCGTCGTGGTCTTGCTTTGTTCTTTGCTCCGTAGTTTCTTTGACCTTATCTTTGTTTGATCGAATCTATCCTCATTGGCGGGTCGGGAGGAGTGAGAAGGGAGAGGGCTCCTGCGCTTGCTTTCCGCTAGCCGGCTCCCTCAGACGGGCCCGTTCCAAGGGCAACGGCGGGTGAGGGCACCCAAAGTTTGGTTTCTCGGCAGGCCGTGTCCGTGACTGGACTTGTTCGTTTGGAGGTTTCTCTCTGGTCGGACACTCCTGTTTCCACGGTCCATTCAACGTACGGACCTTCTCGCAGCAGTGGCGAGAAAGCCCCGTCAAAGAGGCGGAGGTTGTTAGAGGGGGCGCCCTTGGTTGAGTCGACCTCAAGGGGTGACCCTATTTTGGTGATGTCTAAAAACGGTGATAATATCGGCCTGGGTGCGGAGGCGGCACCTATTTCGGTCTTGGGAGATACTATTGTGGCAGGAGGACACAGCTCCGGGGCTGCCGCTACTGTTCCAAGCGGCCCATCGACGTCTCGACCGGCCCGTACCCCATCTTCGGCTAATGAGAGGTTGAAGGGCATAGTGGTGGAGGATTATGAATTCGACTCTGACATCGACCCTGAGGACATGAGGATGTTTGAGGAGGTCTTTACCATGATTGATGTAAGGGCGGAAAGCCCTTCCCGCATACGCGAAATCTCATTGGATTTTAACATGTTGGAGGATACGGTGGATTTGGTGCCTCATTTCGACCTTCTGTGCTGCGCCGCTGAAAGCAGATCTCTTCGGGAGATCACTGATTCTGGTTTGTCACGCGGTGTGGCCACGATGGCCCTAAGGGTGAGTTCCCTTTTCTCGTTTTCTTTGTTATGTGCCATATGCCTTTACTGACACTTTCTCTCTTCTTTTTTTTAGACTTACATGTTGGAGATCGAGAGTGCTCGTAGGGCTAAGACGCGGGCCGAGATTTTTCTAAAAATGGCCGAGAAGTATCGGCGGTATCGCAACAGGTGCCGTGAGATGCACGAGCGGCTTAGGACGGGCGCTAGTACCCAATCCATCAGGGAGGAGTTGGAGAAAAGAGATGAGGAAATGATGCGGTCTATCTGCAGATGCAGCAAGCTCGAGGAGCTACTTAACGCCAAAGACGAGGAGCTCGAGGTGGGCAAAGGGGTTGCAGTAGAGTGCGAGGACCTTCAGGTGAAGGTGTTGTTTTTACGAGCTTAGCTTGAGCAAAATGCTACTAGAGTCGCCGATCTGAGTGCAGAATGGATGGAGAAGGTGTCTGAGCTAGAAAAGAAGGTGATCGAGTTGGAGAGAGCCGAGGGGGCTCAAGTGTCAGCTTTGGCGAGGGCGGCGGCGCTAGAAGACACTATCCGCGTCCTCAGGTCTAGGCAGGACTCTGAGAGGGCGACGGCCAAACTAAGGGAGGCGCGGCTCGAGGAGCGGATTGGTGAACTTGATCCGGATGCTTCAAGTATGGGGGACCGAGTTGAGGCTCTTGAGGCCGAGAAGAGGCAACTGTTAGCTCAGGCTCCCCCTCAAGAAACTGCCTCTGCTACTGTTCCCCGCCGTTTATAGGAGCTATGGGTCCATGCTGAGGCCCAACGAGATATATACAAGGGTTTGTGGGAGGCGGGGAGCATTTCTGAGGCCACTTTAGAAGATGCTCGGGCGAAGGCACGCGAGGCTTGTCTTGCCTGCGGTTACGACCCTGCGACACCGGAGGCCGGTGAGGGTGCTGAGATTGAAGATGAGCTTCCTTCTGATGACGACGATGTTGGGAAGAACGGCGGTGGGGACGATGCCGAGTGAAATTTTTTTTGCAGCTTTTGTGCTTAGTTTTTTTCTGTTCTTTCGTTGTTTGTTTTCATCTTTTTCTTGGGGGCCCGCTTTTGGCCTTTTGTAAGGCGCTGCTGTTGCGCATGTTCATCTTCTGAATAAAATAGTTGTTTTGCCTTTGGTTACATATCTTTTTGACTTTCTTCTTTCTTTTCTTTCTTTTTTCTTTGGAAAATATCTTCAGATTTCCCCGTGATGAGTCCCTGATTTTTACTTGGGAATTCGAATACGGTTTTATTTCGCTTGATTCGAGCTAGATCGAAGTCAGACTTGCCAACTTGGGCGAAGTCAGTTTTGACTTGTAAATTCGAGCGAGGTTGGAGTCTGACTTGCCAACTTGGATGAAGTCAGTTTGACTTATAAATTCGAGCGAGGTCGAAGTATGACTTGCCAACTTGGGCGAAGTCAGTTTTGACTTGTAAATTCGAGCGATGTCGAAATCTGACTTGCCAACTTGGGTGAAGTCAGTTTGACTTGTAAATTCGGGCGAAGTCGCATATTACTTCCGCTTGGCGATGGCCAAGGGTCGTAGGGGCGTTAATTCGAGCGAAGTCGAATTACGATCTATTATGAGTTCGACGAGGTCGAATTTTACTCACTTGGCAACGACCGGGGGCCGTAAGGGTGCAAATTCGAGCGAAGTTGAATTGTGACCCGTTATGAATTCGAGCGAGGTCGAAGTTCACTTCCACTTGGCGACAGCCGGGGGCCGTAAGGGTGTAAATTCGAGCGAGGTCGAATTTTATTTTCTCTTGGCGACGGTCGAGAGTCGTAAGGGTGAGAATTCGAGCGAAGTCGAATTATGACCCGTTATGAGTTCGACGAGGTCGAATTTTACTTCCACTTGGCGATGGCCGAGGGCCGTAAGGGTATAAATTTGAGCGAGGTCAGATTGTGACCCGTTATGAATTCGAACGACGTGCCGGTTCGGTGGAGTGGTAAGGATGTCTCATTCATCCTTGCTTTTATTGGAGAGCATTACCCGTTAGTTGTATCGTTTATGCATGCATCGTGATGAGTCCCAATTTATTTATTCTTGCTTTTATTGGAGAATATTATGCGTTGTTGCATAGTTTGTGTGTGTCGGTGGAGTCCTAGTTTATCTAGTCCCTCCATTGCTCGGCCTGGAGAGGCCGTTGACGGGACGGGCAATGAACTTATTGCTTGGTCTACTGGGCATCCTGGGACTTCATCAATCCAAACGACGTTCGGATGTGATTCGTAATATTTAGTCGGCTCAATTGGTGTAGGATTTTCATGGTGAGCATATATGTGAGCTATTCGAGCTCATGTTTTGCCTGTGTCGGAGAGGGTAGACGTTCCATGGGCTTACTGCTCGGTCCCAAGTTATGGAGATTGTTTCTTAATAATATCGGCCTGTTCTGAGCCGTTTTTGTTATTTGCAATATGTTATGGCGCGGAGGGTTTTTCTTGGTGCGTTTGTTCCTTGTTCGCGCACCTGTGAGAATGCTCATGTTCCTATCCCAATCCAAAAAAGAAAAGATGACAAGTTAAACCCAAACGAAATTGCATGTTACCTTGACCCGGTAGTCGGCGAGGGGGGAAGGGCGCTATAGGGCGACCCGTTTCATCCCGTACTCGAATGTCGGTTTCAGATTTGGCAGCCCCGTGTTTTGCTTCGTCGTTAGTCGCGTCTAGGCTTCTTATGGGCTGAACTTACCTTGCCCGTTGGGATCTCGAGATCGAGTCCCGATCCGATCCCATCCGATGTGCGCAAACAATAAGGGAAACGTGTTATACTCTGTGCATAAATTACACTGTGCGTACGGGTAAAAAAATAAAGTAGGATAAGCCGGTTACTTCAAAGAATCATACAGTAGTCTATCGTCCTTTCCTAAGAGATGGAAGTATAGATCGGCATATAACGTTAATACGGCAAATAGGATTGTGGACGTGCTAAGTGCATGGTGGCCATAATCCCACTTTGAGTACTTATACGACGTGCCAAACCCATCACTACAGGCGAGGCGTGGGTTTCGTATAGATATCAGACATAATTTCTATTTCATGTAGAGATCTAACCCTGATTGGTTTGGTTATTTTAAAAGCTTGCCTACAACTTTCTCAAGTTGGTGTTTATACCGAGAGGGTGAGGCTACGACAACCGGGAAGTGAAACTCTGGCTGGCTTTAGATCTGGAGGGAACTAAGATTTTGGCTAGAAAATCCTCACAGACGGCGCCAAATTGTTTGACCAAAAAGTATTAAGCTTTTTGTTAAACTAATTAACAAAAAAATAGAGGATAAATCCTAGCCAAGGATAATTAATTCTAGATCAAGGCACATTGAATAAGAGAATAAGATATAGTCAAGCTCATGAACTTTTAAGATTTATAAAAGATATCAAACATAAATGACATGCTTACATTCTTGATGTATTGTTCTGTAATGTAAGAATAAAGAAGGAAAAGAAGGAATGCCATTAACAGCTGCGGGATCTATCTTTATTGATTCAAGAAAGATGATTACAAAGATTTGCCGCCAAGATCCGAAACTTCTCTTGTTTTTCTCCCGCAACCTTCTCCGGTTCTTCTGCCTCTTTTTCCTGAAGAAGAGAAGCCCCCTTTCTTCTTTTCTTCCCCCTATATATATAGTAAGTATTCCCTTTTATCCAACGGTTGTTAGCCAGAATACCTTAATCTGTTGATTGTACATTGGGTCGTTCCCCTTAAGTGTCACGACATATGCTTCGTCGTACAAGCTTTCTGATAGTTCGATCCCGGCAGCGGCCGAGATACTCGTTGTTATGATGTCTTATCAATACGACCACGGCTTAGTCAACCCCTCGTCATTCCTTTTAATGTTGATTCACGTGTGGCCAGATTTCGACTCATGCATTTACTAATTGCAATATATCAAACTAGATATTCTACAAAGAAATAATCCTTGTATTAGTAATCCCCACGAACATAAGAAATTTCTACCAATTAACTTCTTAACATAATACTTCCTTTAGCTCAGCGTACTATCATATATCTAACCGCAACTAGTAACAGTGCAAATTTGAACCATTTGGAAAAGTTTAGGGACAAAATTGTACCTTTGCCATTTTACACAATAGATTCGATTATTTATCCAAAACGATGATCGGAAGTATCCTACTTCCGGCACCGGTGCCGCTGCCAATTCACCGGATAAGCCTCTGGAACCGCCACTCACAGCCAGGTAGTCCTCGGTGCTCACTAAGCAAACAAGGCCACCGCTTTATCTCCACCCTTATCGCCACCAACTCCGAGGATATATCCGCTACTCACCGCTTGCTACGCAAATTCGTCGCCTCATCGTCCAAACACGTAGCTCTCAGTACTCTATCTCACCTCCTATCTCCTACTACCTCTCACATTCGCCTCTCTTCTCTTGCCCTCCCGGTACATCTCTCTCTTATCATCTATTTCAATTTGTCCTTCTCATTGATTAAGCTAAGAATGATTTACTGCCAAGCGAAATGTTTATCTGCAGTTGTAGTATTTTGTATTTCAATGTTTAACTTCTATGCCAGATGGTGTAAAAAATACTTACACAATCAGATAACTAATTAGGTAATTAAAGTACAATTTAAGCTATATATACTGTAGTATTTTGTATTTCATTGTTTAAATTCTATGCCAGATGGTGTAAACAATACTTACACAATCAGATAACTAATTAGGTAATTAAAGTACAATTTAAGCTATATATACTGTCAGTTTAAGTAAAAACTGCACTATGAGGTCATTTTTACCTGTTGTAGAAGGCATAGACTTGCATATAGATATTCTTTGGATGAACTTAGAGTAAAAGTTATTTTACCTTGACAGTGTATATAACTTAAACTCTTACATAAAAATCTCTCGATAAGCATTAATTAGTAATCTGGTAAAAATGATGACTAACCTGCTATTTCAGGTTACAATTCACTGATACTGTAAAATAATCTTCATTGTCAGTGCATAAAACTTAAATCTATTCCAATTTCCTACTGAATTTTAATACAATTAGTCTTATTGAATGCAAGGCAAAATGTTTATTTGCAGTTGTATTTGGAAATCAGTGAAGCGTCATGGTTTGATTGGAATTCGAAATTAGTGGCTGACTTGGTTGCATTGCTTTACAAGCTAGAGAGATATGATGAAGCTGAAACCCTAGTTACTGAAACGGTTTCTAAATTGGGAAGCCGAGAACGAGATTTGTGTAGTTTCTACTCTCCGTTGATTCATTCACTATCTAAGCAAAAATCAGAGAGAGGAGTTTTGGTTTTTGTTACAAAATTGAAGCAGGTTCTCTTGTGTTCGTCGTTTGTTTATTTGAAGCAACAAGGGTACGCCTCGATGGTGGATGCATTTTGTTCTATTGGATTACCGCGTGAAGCTGAGGAATTGATGGAAGAGATGAAGGAATTAGGATTGAAATTATCAAAGTTTGAATTTAGAGCTCTAGTTTATTCATATGGGAAATCAGGATGCTTTAGTGATATGAAAAGGATTATAGCTCAAATGGATGGTATGGGACTTCAATTAGATACAGTTGGTGTGAATATGGTGCTTAATTCATTTGGATCTCAGTACGAGCTTTCAGAAATGGTGTCGTGGCTCCAAAAAATGAAAGTTTCAGATGTTCCATTTTCTATCAGGACTTACAATTCGGTGTTGAATTCATGCCCCACAATTAGTCATTTGCTGCAAGATCCGAAGAGTCTCCCTCTTTCTCTGGAAGAGTTAATGGGCAATTTGAATGAGAATGAAGCTGGTTTGGTGAAGATACTGGTTGGATCATCAGTTTTGGAGGAAACAATGCAGTGGAACCCTTCAGAGTTGAAGCTGGACTTGCATGGGATGCATTTGAGCTCTGCTTATGTGGTCATTTTACAATGGTTTCATCAGCTACAATGCAAGCTTGTTGCTGAAAATCGTGTTCTTCCTGCTGAAATCACAGTGGTATGTGGAGCGGGAAAACACAGTGTTGTTAGAGGAGAATCCCCTGTGAAAGGGTTGATCAAGGAGATACTGCTACGGGTGGGTTGTCCACTCAGGATTGATAGGAAGAACATTGGATGTTTCATTGGTAAAGGAAAAAATTTCATGGAGTGGTTATCAAGTTACAATGCCACTTATATCTACATGTTGAATCAAGAAAGATGTTACCACAACGGATTACTACAAGAAGCTGAATATGTTCAATTGAGTTAATACCTATCAATCTAGTTGGTATGATTGAAAGTTGAGACACGATCATTTGATATCCTCAAATGTGCATTTTGCTGTTATAATCAGTGAGATAGCTGATAAGAGAAAAGGTAAATCATTATTTGTTGCGGCATGTAGCTTTTTGTTGAACGGTCATCTTCAGCTATTGAAGCATCTAATATTCTGCTGCATATTGCGAGCTGTTCAAGCATTTAATATTTGGTTATTGGCCTAATTACCTGTTTTTTCACATTGGCAAAACTCCTGCAAAGAAGTCAGAGAAACAAATCGAGCTGCATCAGCAGTTCAGAAGTAAGCAATGACAGCGATTTGCATCCAAACTGAAGTGGAGAAACAAATCATAGCAAGATTTCCTGTTTAAGAAATATATGAATTTATTACTCTTGCAGGGTTTATGAGCAAAATCTTAAAGATCAAGGTCCTTGTTGGGTGGATTATTCATCATAGAGGAGGGACAAACATGACGGCAAAATCGATTTGTAGCATAGATTGCTCATACCTAACCAATCACACCAACGTTTACTGCTCCGTGGGAAAAAAAAACGGTGGGTTGCAAAAACATTGTCATTTTTTCTCGTGATGGTATCCAAAAAACTCAGCAATCATTCAACATCCCCCTTTGTGCAAGATTGGCGAGACCATCCGTGGACCGAGGAGTGGAGTAATAGTCAGAGGAATATCTGTAAGTTCTTCTGTTCAAGAAGCAGGAATCCTAACCAACAAGTAAGACAACGAGCTTGCGCGCTGCAAGATTCAATGATGGTGTAGCTCCAACACGAACAATTCTGTACAACCGTGTATTTCTGATTGCCGCAGATTTTAAGCAAGTCCAGCGCAGAAGTTATGTCCATTATTTTATCCTTCGTATGATAGTTATATTAGATCAATGATCACCAGGTGGAGAGAATCTCTTTACTAAAAGAATTCAGGCAACTGAATGTAATTCACTCTACTAAACCACTTCCTTCTTTCTAAGGCAATCTTCATTCAAGAAGACTTGCTAGCTTGCTGCTAATTAAAAGAATTCTCACTTCAGAGTAATGTACCAAAAGCTGGCTCCTATTAGTATTTATCATTACAAGAAAATGTTGCACTATTTTAGCCTTGTCATTAGGTCTGTTCAAAAATATTACACGATCCTCCTATATGACAATCCTACTTGATCCAATCCATTCCTAATTGCACGTTGTTTAGTAGGCAGGGATAGGTGTGCATCATATAGAGATGCACTTGTCACTTTTGGCTCAAATTCTTTTATGTAGTTGCATAATTTAAAAAAAAAAAATAGTAATATATATTTATGCTAATTTTACCTTGATTGTCACAAACTGGATGAAAGTGGGTACTTTGTACCTAATTCCTTGATCTGCCTATGTTAGAACTTAGAAGGGAAAAACTTCTAATTATAATAACCTTCTCTACTTTTAAAAGTGGAAAACAACTTATGCCGAGGCCATCCAGGGCAACACCAAAAACCCTGTGGCATAATGTCCTATACTAATAAAAGAACACCAAAAGTGAAGCTCTCGCCTTTGGAAATTGGAGCATCTGCGAGCCAATTCCGATGAGATTTTCTTGCTTAGTTCCCAGCAGTAGGCCAAGTTGAGGGAACCCTGTTGGAGGTAATGGGAGGCATACCGCGGACATTGATGTCAATGGGATACAGTCGATATTCAATGTCTAGCTCTTTGAAAATCTTAACCATCTCCTCAATCAATTGAGCTCTTCTGAGCCACTTTTCTCCCATATCCTGATGGTTCATTCTATGTCTGATCCATACTGACATTTTCAACCTGTTTAGATCTTCCAGGTTCATCAGTACAACTGTAGGAGAGGGATACCAGTGGTCCTTCTTGTTCTCAATATAACTGCAATAGCAAGCCACCAAAATTATGTCAAGTCATAACTCAATATAATCTAATTTTCACTATCATACAATTTTTTTTAACTAATATAGCTTTTTTTTATCTAACAATGGTGTTAGGGCTAGCTCGTGCGCACCTCGATTATTCACCGGGTATTTGCTATTCCACACCAGTGCGAGTACTGGATAACTTTGCCTACCAAGACAAAGTTACGCAATACATGTACTGGTGGGAGATAGCATAGCAGGTACTTAGTGGAATAGTCAAAGTGTGTTCAAGCTGATCCGGACACCATCTAGATTAAAAGAACCCAAAAAAACAAAATAGCTTCCCTTCAGCTTTCTTAGTTTACATTCTTGTTTTTACTTTTTTCCCTTTTCTTCCTAGGTGGATATACACATGAAAACATTAAAAAAGGTAAGAAAGGGGCATCCATTTAAAGGCCAATCAAACATACTTTTCGCGACATTATGTGTGCGTTCTTTCTTTTGAATTCTGTTACACTAATGTCTTTTGTCAATTAAATATGTATGTAAAGTTTTCTACACACTTGTTGCAAAGCATTCGCAGAGGTGATAAAAGATAATATTGGATGACAAGAATGAATATATATACCTGGTAATTCTTTGTTTCACAGCAGCAATTTTATCTGCTGGTGTAGCAATGTGGACAGTAAAATCAATCGAGTCTCCCATATCAGGACTACGGTAGTAATTGCCAATAGGTCGAGTTGAAAGAGTACTATTTGGATACATTATCTTTTGGTTGTCGAATCTCAAAAAGACTGTAGTTAAAATGTTCATCTCTTCAACAATCATCTGAAACACAAAAATTTATACATATCAGGCTTTGCTAAGCACAGAAATACGCTAAAATGTAGTACTAGTATTTATTACTCTCTCGGTTCCATCTTATATGACTCTTTTTTAATAGTTTGTTTAAAAAATAAATGGCACATTTTTATATTTGGAAGCCCTTTAAATTTAGACTTTTCGTTTTACCTGATATGCTTTTATAGCCATAAAAAAGTCATGACATTAACCTGCTCGGTGACTACTCAAGAGTTGAATGGAAGAGTCTCATGTTCAGCAAAGTTTATAATGTGGTTGATGATGCACGACAGAGTTTTAATTGCTGATAGATTGAGTAAATAGGGGATGAATGTCAACACACAATGTATATTGTGCCAGGTACAAGAGGAGACACGAGACCACTTGTGCAATGTGAATATACAAGGAGAATCTGGCACAAATTGTGGCAATGGATAGGGATAGAGGAGGAAAACACCATGAACTGGGATGACTTCAGCCGATGGACCATCAAATGTGCTAAAGGAAAATCTCAACAGGCTCAAATCTTTAAATTGGCGTATGCAGAGACAAGTTACCATATATGGATAGAGACGAATATTTGGATATTTGAACACAAAAGCAAGTGCTGGGAGGACATTGCCAAAGAGATAGCCTCTGTATGCGGGATTGTCCATAAACTTAGGAATTGTCTGTTTTGAAACATCTTTGTAGCTGAGTAGATAGTATACTGTGTAGAAAAGTTCTTTTGTCTCAGTTTTAGATAGCTAGCTTTGTTGGCTTAGCTATGGCTTTGTAAATACTTTACATTGGTGATTAATACAATTAAATTAGTTACCACCTAAAAAAAATGTCATGACATGTTAGATAGTTCTAAGATTACTTTTGTAATATGCATAAATTTTCTTTATTTCTTTCTTAAATACCATGTCTAGTCAAACACTGATATAAAAGATGAAATGGAGGGGGTGATTATGTTTGAATAGAAAGGAATAAGCTAATAGAGGCATAATAAAACAGAAAAAGGATCAAGAAAGTATGCTATATACCTGAACTCCATCAACCTCACAACGATCTCCCACGTCAAATGGATGCATTACAAATAAGAAGATGATGGACTCAAATATGGTTTTGCAAGTGTTTCCAAAAACAAATGCCACAACAACAACCTGAGAGCTGACGAAGAGCAAGAACTTGCTGGTCGCGATCCCTAAAATTACAAGGCAGATGACCAGAATGATGATGCTAACTAAAACATTCACCATCTGATGAAGTTTGTTCACTGCTGTTTTCGTGTCATTTAACGTCAATGCAAGTGCCCTTCGTTCTCTAAATGCATTCACCTGCAGAAATTCAAGGATAGTCGTCTGATATCGTGGACATAGACAACTATTGATAGAGTGTTGGAATTTAAATTAGGATAGCTACCACTTTATTGTAAATGGAAGAAGAGACTAACACAATTCAAAGGAAGAAAATTATAAGGCATAAGGAGGATGGAAGAGGGAGATAACCACTGATAAATATTACTATGAAAAACTCCACCACTACAAAACAGGTTCAACAATTATAAACATTTTAGGATGATTCAAAAGACACGCCCCCTATAATAACTCAACAGAAAAATGAAAACATTTAAGGGATCGTTTCGTACGCGGACTAAATTATCCTGGGACTATAATCCTGGGATTATAATCCCTACACTAATTTGTCCCATAATCCCAAGTTTGATGGGATAAATTTAATCCCACACCTTATTATCCTACCTTATCCCTCGTACCAAACGTTTATTATTTCAAACAAAGAGTATGTAGAAGAAAAAGTATGTGCATAACTTCATCAAGAATTAATGAGCAGAAACAAATAGTTATTGCATAATATGCATTTCTTACCACCCAGCTCTTGAGTGATGCTCTACTGATTCTTTCTCTGTCTGGTGATCCTTCCACAAGATTCATAGTCTTCAAAGCCTCTTCTTCTCGCAAGAAACACCTCAAATCGTCCAGGTAGATGAATCTGTCCGAAGAACAAAGTTTTAGACTAAAAGTAAATATGATCATGTGACTGCTATTTAAGTAGTACATGATTCTTTGTGACATGAGTAAATTAGGTGATCTATATTCAGCATAAAATATGGAAAGGGGTTATTGATCAGAACAGTAAGTTATAAGAATGAAAGTCAGACTACACCAGGTCACAAAACCAAAGTATACACTATATAATAAAAAAATGGCAGCTCGGTGCACTTAGTATCCCGCATCCACGCAGGATCCTAGGAAGGGCCGCACTCCAAGAGGTATTGATGTAGGCAGCCTACCCTAATGAAACATTAGTAGCTGATTCCACCATTGAACCCGTAACCTATAGGTTACACAGAAACAACTTTACCGTTGTCCAAGGCTCCCCTTCATACTGTACATTGGTAATTCCAAAATTGGGAATCAGTTGTAGCCCAAATCCGCCCCTTTAACACGCAAGTACGCTTTAGCTACTAAGCTTCGAAACAACCCATAGGCTTACTTCGAAGTAGGAGCTTGAACTCAAGTATTAGAATGAGTCTTATTAGGTTTTCCCTGGGGGAAGGCTCCCCCCAACCCCCGTGAGTCCCGTCCTGCCCTGCCTTGAACTAGAACTCGGAAACCAGGACACATAACTATAAGAGAGTAGCTGCCAAAACAAGCTCCCTAAGGTCGCACCTAAGATCCGAAGGAATCGCTTGAGAACTAACTGCATACCTGAAGTTAGCTTGTGTGCGCATAGCGTTCTGTTAAACTTTATTGCCGCAAACTAGGTATTTAACAAGAATCAAACATGAAGGATCATAATATGATGAAAATTACATAAAAGTATCTTTTTTCTATTGTCTTCCATTATGTTATTTGTATTAGCATAAGAGGGGGATCAATGCAACCTCAGATTTGGACTAATATGTCTGGGTGACTGAGTGTTTATGAAATTACTTACTTGGATCGAGGCTTGGCAACGTTTCGGAATATCTTCCTGGCTGCAACTTTGGCCTCATATTCACTTCTAATCTGTGTCGTAGACTCATCCTCTTGTTTGGTATCCAGTATTTGCTCATCCAGTGTAGATATTACCCCATACCTTACTATTTTAATCAATCTCTTCATATTCCAAGCTGAAATATTCTTGGGGTTCAACTTATGCAAATGATCAATTGATATCCCTTGGTTCTGCTCATCTGGATTTTTTGACAAGGGACCAGAAATACCAGAAATCGAAATGCTTACTGTTCTTGATGGTTTTCGTGTTGGCGTTTGTCCACCATTAACACTTACGCCCTTATTACTACTGTATTGAGGAGCAATCGGGGGCCTAAGTTCTGCTGGCAACTGTGCTCCTGCAATATTCTGCAGCTTCCAAACTT